AGGTGCCCATAATACACCCCAAACAGAAGACTGCGAATACTGAGAATCAGCTGATGGGGACACCCAGGTGTAAAAGTTAGCGTTAGCTAATGCTACTAACGTTAGACTAACGTTAGCTAACGCTAAACTAACGTTACCTAACACTAGCCTAACGTTACCTAATGCTAGACTAACGTTACCCAACGCTAGACTAACGTTACCTAACACTAGACTAACGTTACCTAATGCTAGACTAACGTTACCTAACGCTAGACTAAGCATACCTAACGCTAGACTAACGTTACCCAACGCTAGACTAACGTTACCTAACGCTAGACTAGCTTTAGGTAAGGTGCAAGTGGCGGACCGGCAAAATCCGCGACAGTTTGGGGTAATTGCTTTGATGCGTCCATAATGCACCCCAAACAGAAGACTGAACACTTCCCATCATCTGATGGGAACATTGACCTCGGCTTGCAGCATTTAGCAAATGATCCGTCAGGCAAAGTAGAGGTCTGCATTGCACAGCTCGGCTGATAAGGAAGTTTACATCCATAACAGGAACAGCATGTGCTTCTTAGTACACTTTCCAATATTTAAAGTAGATGCCATTTTCAATGCAGTAAAAAATACAACAAACAAAAGTTTGTCGACAAATATCCACAAAAAAGAATTCCAAAATCACATCAATGAGAAAAACCATTATTCGTAGGAGTCTCATCCACTTAAGTTTAAGAATTACAATTAGCTAGACAATTTATTTATTTTACACTTATGTATCTAATTGCACCCTAAAAGTTTAGATTGTTACGCACTTAGCACTTTAGTCGCTCAATTGTGAACGAGAACCGCGTTGAGGGGGTGCAGAATGAGAGGTCTGAGAGTAATTGCAATTAGAGTAGCAATTTCGACGAGACGTTATCACGATCCATCCTCGAGGATATGCTTGGGATTCTGCGATCCGCAAAACGAATCGTTTCTGGTAATTGAATCGACCATAATGCGTCACTAAGAGTAATTACGCGGTCAAGCGCCCCTCGCTCATAAGCCCCCCCCGCTTTTCTCATCGACTCTAAGGGTCGTTTATTCGTTATATAAGAATAGAGTATATTTGTACAAAATTGTGCCACTGCGAGAGAATTCTGACAAGCCCGCAATTTTTCATTTAGGACACGTTCTCCATATAGCGTTCGAAATAAAAAACTGTGATTGATTAAACAGATTCGTCCCGCCGTGAATCAACAGTGGAAAAGAGCAACGTGACAACAAAATTAATAACCTCTCTCATGCTCCATTCTTACCCTGCCCGTGCATATTTGTACGATATTTATCAATACTGATTTTCCTTTTTAAACAAGGTAAATTGAAAACAAATTTTTAGTCACCATTCTTTGAACCTTATTTTATTAATCTGCAATTGTTGGAATTTACAAAAATTTAACGAAACGTTGAGCAAATGTGTGAAGAGTAGAATTTCCCGTCGCATATTGATCGTTAACACCGGGGTGGCAGAGAAGGTTTTCAAAAGAGTTCAGAAGACTGAAAAGAGCAGCTCAAAAAGAATTCGAGAACATTACAGCCATTATGGAAAGGAACTTTTTTATATGGGCCCGGGAATTGGAGATTAAAGAGTGATGTAACAAAACCGATTCATAACACTTTAAAACAAAATTTTTCCACTCTTTCCCGATTTTCTGATAACTACATTTTTGTTTCAAACTTCTGGAACAAATATTTCTGAAACTATTCCAACGATTCAGTGCAAAGTATAATTACTTTTCCCGTTAAAGGTTTTTTTTAATACAGGTAATTAGGTAAGGAAAAGTATTTTTATTTTTTCAAATAACCGATTTCGATAATAGATTCGTTTATTTATATCTCTCGTCTCGATTCAAAAAATAGAAATTTACAAAGATCATAAAAACGAAGAATATCTAATTGCTATTATAAACGTTTTTTTTGGTTTCCCTTTCCTTATTTTTCTTTGAACAAAAAACAACTGATCTTTTCATTCCCTCTTTCCTTATTTCCCTTCGTGGTGGCAAGAAGTTTCTTTTCCAATTCAATTTTCTCGACCACTCTTTGCCCGCTATTTTCGCGAAGTAGGATAGGAGAACAAAAATTCACTATCTTCTACATCAGTAGAAAAAGTGAAGGGATCGGATATCTTGTGAATGTGATCCAATGAAGGTGAGGAGGGACTCTTATTCCAAGCGACACATCGATTTTTCTTTGTCCAAAGACTTCCGCTTTGACAGATTATCCCCCTTGAGTAGATATTTACTGCTTTTTATGTAACTTGAACAAAAAAAAATTGTTTGAGAGAATCAAAAGTTTCAGTTAACTGTACAAAGTAATTTCTCTTGGTTATCCAAAAAGTTATCTCTAATTCATAATTGATCATTAGATCATCATTGGATCATCATTAGACCATCATTAGATCATCATTGGATCATCATTGGATCATCATTAGATCATCATTAGATCATCATTAGATCATCATTAGATCATCATTAGATCATCATTTTTTTTTGCGAAAATAAACTTAGTTAATTTTTTGTGAATAGTAGACTAGTTTATAATTCCGGACCAGTGGTTTCTGGGTTTACCAGAATTAGTCTCGCTTTGCGGATCACATAGTTGCGATTGTCGAGAAAGGGAGAATTGTTTTAGGACTGTTAGATAGTTTCATGATGGCTAAGAGTTCGTTTAAGGTCTGGAGTTTTGTTAGTCGAGCTAGGAAGTGTTTGCAACGAAATTTAACCTACGGAGGTCCGAGTAGTTTTCTACCTGGTGCCTCGGGAAGTTCTCCTATGCAAATAATCGTATCGTCGTTGCTTGTTTGTGAAACGTAGACTACGCAAATTCAAAATAGACATGCAGTGGAGCATTGTCAACATTTTTGTTGGGAGGAACTTTCCAGAAGTTCTAAATTAGGTTACTTTGTCCGGAATGAAAAGTCGGGTGTTTGCCAAAGTCGAGGGTAATATTGAAAATTGAGTTCTGGATGTAAACTTCCTTATCATCCGAGCTGTACAATGCAGACTTCTACTTTACCTGACGGATCATTTGCTAAATGATGTAAGCCAAGGTCACTGTCCCCATCAGCTGATTCTCAGTGTTCATTTTTTTGTTTGGGGTGCATTATGGGTGCCATAAAGCAATTACCCCAAAACTGTCTCCACAAATTTTACGACGTCGGAGAATTTCCAGGGCATCCTGAACGTCTTCCTTTTCTGTAAGGGAATCCATGTCGCGGATTTTGCCGGTCTGCCACTTGCACCTTACCTAAAGCTAGTCTAGCGTTAGGTAACGTTAGTCTAGCATTAGGTAACGTTAGTCTAGCGTTAAGTAACGTTAGTCTAGCGTTAGGTAACGTTAGTCTAGCGTTAGGTAACATTAGTCTAGCGTTAGGTAACGTTAGTCTAGCATTAGGTAACGTTAGTCTAGGGTTAGCTAACGTTAGTCTAACGTTAGGTAACATTAGTCTAACGTTAGGTAACATTAGTCTAACGTTAGGTAACGTTAGTGTAGCGTTAGGTAACGTTAGTCTAGCATTAGGTAACGTTAGTCTAGCGTTAGATAACGTTAGTGTAGCGTTAGGTAACCTTAGTCTAGCATTAGGTAACGTTAGTCTAGTGTTAAGTAACGTTAGTCTAGCGTTACCTAACGTTAGTCTAACGTTAGTAGCATTAGCTAACGTTAACTTTTCCACCTGGGATGTCCCCATCAGCTGATTCTCAGTATTCGCAGTCTTCTTTTTGGGGTGTATTATGGGCACCTTACCTAAAGCTTCAATTACCTTTGTCACCTCCTCGATGAAAGACACGTTATTTGAAGTCCCTCTGATTTTAATAAGCAGGTCTCTCATTTTAGTGGGTAAAGCTCCCACAGCCCTTGTCTGACCGTCCTCCAGGTCAGCCTCTTCACGATCTTTCTTCATCACTTTGGCGAATGTAGTTCCCCTTCCTTCAGCCACTTTGACAATCATTGTTGTTCGTCGTTCTGGCTGATTATTTTTGATCATTGAAAACTAGAATACCATTTTATCGAAATGATATTTATAGAACGAAAAATATTCTCCTCCTTGAAATATAGAAAAGTAGCAAGAATCGGGTTTCGGGTCCTGATAGTGTAAGTGTATCTCAAGTGGGGTTTCGTGGCAAAATATTTGAGCATACGCTACAAATGTTTGCTCTGGTCCTCGACATTGCGTAATAAAGCGGCAAAGCTCTTTTCCGATAATACCCTTCTCTGGCGCAACTCTGGCTCTTCACCCAAAGACTACGTGCCACTATGGTGTCTCCTCCTCCTCCTCCTCCTCACCCTCTGACCCCTATCAAGTCGACTCCTCTCCTCACTTGTACCTTTCGTCTAAGTTTCCCAAACTCCTTCCGGCTCGTCTTTTCTCCACAACTCCTTTACTTTGTTCAACTTAACTCATCCCTTACGGGAACTTAACTCAATAACCGTCAGATAATTGTGTGATGTGGTAATATCTGAAATTTGAATTTCCTTCTTCGTATTACTAAAGACATACTAAATCTAGTTCAATGATTTATGTGAGTGGCAATTATGTAAAATTCTCGAAAGGCGTATTTGCAGGAATCTCTAAACATTACTCTACATTCTATTTGGTTGTGGTGGTGAGAATACTATCGAATTGCAGTATAATGGAGTTCATAGTATATATAAGCATTTCACCTGCTGAAGACAGAACCTTGGAGTACTGGAGAAACTTCAACTAAAGACTATTGAGACAACTGTAAATAGAGTATGGAGAGGGTCGGATTAGGAATAGACACCATTTAAATAGCTGCCTAGTACAATATACTAGCAGCGTCTCGCTTTGAATATTGAACTAAAAAATAGAATTCTAAAATCTTTAGTTAGTTTCTAGAGAACCTTTTCCCGATTATTAAATATTTCATTAAAAATAGTTAATTTCCAAACTGTACAAAGTGAATTTTGATTACCATTTGGAGATAATTTGTTTTAAATTTTAAAATAATTGCACATACCTCACATTTTGTCGTGATTCGTACGGCAAGCCTCATTTTCATAAAATCTGGAACAGAAAAATATAAGATCTTTAATGGATTTCATCAGAAATCAAGCTTTTTACGAAAAATGGCAATTTTGAGAAAGTCCGCCATATTGGATCCGCCATTTTGAATTTTGTAAATCTGGGTTCGGATTTAAAATCAATGACCCTATAGAATTCTGAGTAAGGGACCAGTAATTTTTTAATAAATCTAAAGATTTTGAACACTGATTTTGTAGGAAAATCATATTTTAACAAAAAAATCTGATTTCAGTTTTTTTTTTTTTGGGAAGTAGTTAGGAAAGAGTCAGGAAGAATTAAATTGACATTTATTTTCAAAATCGTTGCATACTCGTATATTTTAGCTCACTTCCTTCCGGCTGCGCTCTCTTAGTGATAAATTTTTTTGTTATCAAGTGTCCCGCGGCGAAATCTGGATATTACATTTGGTTACTTCGCAATTTCCACGATATCTAATTTCTCCCTGGAGGGCTTGCAAAGTGGGATGTTCTTGACGAATCGTTTCCTGGAAATTTGAAAAGTTACCATAACCGTCATGAAAAATTGTCCTATGTAGCATTATTAATCATAATATGGAATTGCTGGAAACATATCAATTACTCTATTTCTATATAATTCATCAAAAACAGTAATTTCCAATAGTGTTTCGAATTTTTTTTTCTTTCATATCTGACTGGAAAGCTTTTCTTTTTTTTGTATGTTGAGAATAAAGGGAAAAAATTTCTCGGTAAACAATTTTCTATATTATGAAATTTACCTTTATCAATATGACACTTGGACCTGCAAATGTCAAAATTCAATTTTCCCAAATGTTTTGTGTGGAGTTTTTTATTTTACAATTTGGAAAATTTTAGCGAAGTAAAGAAAAAGGCGAGAAAATACTCGACGCGACGATGTGAAAGTAATCGTATCGAAAAGAGATTGGCATGTTTACTCTGAAAAATTAGATTCCTCTCTTTTGCCCCCAAGATACCTTGAAAGATTGCACTTTTACTCAATTCTTTCATTTAATCCTCTTTAGAGGATATTCCACTCTAAATTACATTATTAGAATGGATTCTTACAATTGTATTTCGTTAAATGTGTCACGTAATATTTTATCAATTCTCATGAAAATTAAGAATTAATTTTTTATTGCCTTCAAACATTTTTAAAAAAAAATTTCAAACATATTTGAACATAATTAGTCTGCAAACCTTTTTCCGTCCAAAAAATGCCCAAAAATGTGGTTTTTATTGCATCAACTAAATAATTTTAAAATAAACCAAAAATACGAACTGCATGTACTAAATCTCCAAGGGCTATATATGCAGATTCTCCGCCTGCCTCATAAAAAAAAACTATTTTTAGATTAGGTTTCGCGATAGAAAAAAAAGAAACTCTTTTATACTGTCACAGCTATTTATTTAATAACAATCCAAAGTCTACAATAAATACTCTTCCAGATAAACTCACTCCATTTTATTTCCCTCCATTCTCTTCCCCTGTGAGAATTTCTCCAATTTCTTACTTAAGAACGAAATAAGGTAAGATTACGTTTGACGTAACAAATGGATTCAAAATTAAAGTAATTCCTTTCTTTTTCAACTTTAAGAGCAAAATTGAACTAATGTAATAAACAGCTTATATCTTTGATTTCCATAAAGGATCAAAGAAATAAAATTGTAAAATAGAATTATGACATAGCATAAATATAGTTTTCACATTCGGATTTCTAAACGACTTTTTGCACAGTTGAATTACTCTCAACGTTATTGCTTAATTGAATCTTTTTCTTTAATTCAAGTTTCTTTCAAGTTAAGTTACAGAGGTATAAAAAACGACAAAGAATCTAAGAAAAAAAGAAGTATTCAAAGAGAAACAAAGCATAAAATCTTTACGAGAATTATAAAAAAGTTCCAGTCCCCAAGGATTGGTCCTTTTTTTTAACAAAACTTAGAGAATTAAATGAAAACTTGTTGAGTTTTTATTAGACTTTGTTAGATGTTATTTATATCGTAAAACATTGAAAATAATATATAAATTAAATTAAAATAAAATTTGAAATCTTAACTACAATATGAAAAAAAGAAAAATGCTGCCCCAAGTGTATTTCATTAGCGAGACTTTCATTACTTTGTGACTGTATATAAATATAACATATTAATTACGACTTTGTTACTTTTTTCCACAGAGTCAAAGGCTACATTTACAAAAACAGTACTTTTGATGCTTTTCAATTCTCATTAGTCGTTTCTCCTTTTCAGGCAAAATTCTACGATTTATTTCTCGAAATTATTATTAAATTTCAGTTGTTTAAGTTAATTAATAACTGGTATGAAAGCAATTTAGAAGATACTCGAGATAAATCAGTCTCAAACAGTGTCCTTTATGGAATAAATTTTACGCTTAATTGAGAAAAAAATAAAAAAAAACTTAATTATTGTTAGGAAAAAGTTTCACTGGAATACATTTTTTTTATGTATTTCTGATAAATGATCTACATAGTTAAGTAAAGTAGCGGTTTGACCACCAAAGAGAGGACTCATTATAAAACTAATAGTTTCAGAGGAAGTTCTAATTCAGTTAGGAAATATTGTAAAATAATTAACAAACCTTATTAAGGGGTTACAGCCACTTAGGATTTTGAAAAAATCGATTTTTATTGTATTTTCGTAATATACTTTCCACTTTCCACATTCACATCACTCTTCCACTTTACACCTTTCACTTTCCATTCTTACTTTCCACTTCCACTTTCCACATTTCACTTTCCACTCTCACTTCCCACTTTGCACTCCCACTTTCCACTTCCAACCATCACTTCCCACCTTTCACTTTCTACTCTCACTTCCCACTTTCCACTCTCACTTCCAACTCACTTTCCATTTTCCACTCTTACTTCCCACTTTGCACTCTCACTTTCCACTTTATACTTCCACTTTCCACTTCTCACCTTCAACTTTCTACTCCCACTTTCCTTCTTCCACTTCCCATTCCAGTTTCCACTCTTACTTCCCACTTTGCACTCTCACTTTCCACTTTTCACTCTCACTTTCCACTTTATACTCCCACTTTCAACTTCCCACTTTCCACTCTTACTTCCCACTATGCACCTTTTACTTCCCACATTCACACCTTCCACTTCCCCTTTCACTTTCTACTCCCAGTTTTATCCTTCCACTTCCCTTTTCACGCTTACTTCCCATTCCCACTTTCCACTTCCCACCTTCTACTTTCTTTTCCCACTTCCCATTGCACTTTCCACTCTCACTTCCCACATTGCATTTCCACTCTTACTTCCTACTTTTCACTTCCCACATTCACACTTTCCACTTCCCTTTCCACTCTTACTTCACACCCTTATTTCCCACATTCACACTTTCCACTTCCCTTTCCACTCTTACTTCCCACTTTGCACTCCCACTTTCCACTTTCTACTCTCACTTTCCTCCTACCACTTTCTTTAACACGCCTACTTCTCTTTCCCACTTTCCACTGTTACTTCCCACTTTCTACTCTTATTTTCCACTTACCACCTTCTACTTTCTACTCCCACTTTCCTCCTTCCCTTTCCATTCCACTTTCCACTCTTACTTCCCACATTGCACTTTCACTTTCTACTCCCACTTTCCACTTCCCACTCGCACTTCACACCTTTTAGTTCTCACATTCACACCTTTCATTTTCCACTTCCCACCTTCCATTTTCCACTTCCCACCTTCCACTTTCTACTCCTACTTTCCTCTGTCCACTTCCCTTTCCACTTTCACTCACTTTTCACTCCCACTTCACATCTTTTACTTCCCACCGTTAGGAGTGAAAAGTAATAAGCGAAAGTGTGAGTGGAAGCTAAAAAGTGGGAAATTAGAAGTAGAAAGTGGAAGGTGGGAGGTGGAGAGTAAATTTTGTCCGCCATATTGGATTCGCCATTTTGAATTTTTAAATTAAGACTTTAAATTCGTAAACATCGTCGAGAAATACGTTTTAATAATTTAAATTCAAATTTTCAAAGCTGCGCTTTTAGAACTTAGGGAAACCCTCTTTATTTCTGAAATTATAGAAAATTCAACGTTTCTTAAAGTTCAGAAGGTTAATGGTTACTGAACTCTTAGCAAATTAGAATATAACAAATAACGACTTGTCAAATTTTAATTGCACAAATTTTCCCTTCACTTACCTACTTCTGTGCTCTTTTTCCTTAATCATGCGCAATTGTTCCACCAATTTACCCACTTTTCTTCTCCCTTCGTGCTCTCATTTTTCCTCAATTAAATTTAATCTCACGCAACAAAGATGCCTGACTTTAATTTTAGTGAAAAGTTGCTAAAATATTTTCTATTTATTTAAATTTATTAACCTCAGTGCTAAATATATCCTGTTTATCCTCTATTCACTATTCATTTAAATATTTAATTAATTATTTAATTATTTCTCTAAATTAATAATAATAAACATTATTATATGCTTCTCCTCACGCTTCATGTACTTTGGTTTAGTATTTTCATTTTGCCCTCAGCATCCAATGTTGGGATTACAGTTACTTGAGTATTTATATCGAGAAACTTTCCTCTCAATGTCTTTTGTCTTCTCCTTTCCTTGCTCTCGTGCGACAAGAGCTGTTTCTGTTTATGGCTGTAGGTTATATACTATAGTTTGAAATTATACCTCGAACTAGTAACATTGTTCATTAAGACCATTTACATTAGTCTTGTCGATGCATCTTAACGTATTTCGTAAGTTTAACAATTAAACAACATTATATCAGGTAAATTCAATTCTGCTGATTATTAATCATCACTATAATGGAATAGGTGAACTAATTTGGATTCTTGGACGCTTCTCCTAATTCGTTTTTCGCAAAGTATGTTTTTCGAATGATGTTCCTTTTTCAGTCTTTCAATTTTAATTCTTTAAATCTAATTTCTCCAAAAGATTTTTTAAACATTTGGATATTAAGACAGTTTATTTAAATTCTTTACATTAGAGAATAGATAGATCCAGATGTCTTCAGGAACACTAAA